GAAGTACTATTCTACCATAGTCAGACTAACCAGTTTACTCGGTTATAGAGAGTGATGCTCTGTAGTTGAAAGTCAAAAAGCTCAAGTGGGATTCACAACAAAACCGTATCCCAGGGCCGTCATTTGAAAGTGTAAGTGGTTGGAATGAGTGATAGGAACGAATCGATTAAATATATCCATGTATGTAAGTACATTTTGGAGGAATGTTAGGAAGTGTAGCGTGGACGAAAATTCACCTTGCTCGAGTTGAAGGAATGTAACACAAAATATGAATACTGTATGAAATCGGACCCAATTCTTTTTGGTGGCGATCCTTATACAGTGGGTAGTCTTCAATCCATCAATGCCACATTAACTTGATGAAAGTCGCTTTCGGCGAGTTGTTTTTTGATGTATTTCGTCTTGCTCAAAGATATATTTCCGAAAGAGGAAGATGCTGGTAGCTCAGGTAGCTCAGGACCTATAACAACATGGTGAAGGGCTCGGTAAATGTCCGGAAATTTTTTTAATCACTGCTCAACGCAAACAATATGAACAATATTAATGTTCGCTTTGTAGAAACAGTGATTTGGCATGAGGTTTTCTCCTCGAACCTGCGTTATAAGTGATTGGAAGTTAGTATCTTTCTGACAGAGCATCGTCAGAGAAGAAGTTTAGAATCCTAGATAAAGTTCGTGCAGACTTCGTGCACTGTCTGTAAGCATGCCTTACCTAGGTCTTGGATCGCGGTGAAACGAAATGACGCATATCTAAGTTTTGGAGCGTTTCATGAGTCTGTAATATGCTTCAGCTATTTTTCAATAGGATGTTTATGGAGAAAGATTTGCCATTAGTTCGTTAGCGGCAAAAGTTTACTGGCGATTCAACAGAGTAGAAGTGTACAACTGCTTCAACAAAGGAGGAATTCAGTGCAAGCACACGAAAAGTGAATTGCACATGGTAAAAGTAAGATGAAAAATGCGTTTATTGAGCTGTACGTTAAAACTGAACGAAACATCAGGGATTGTAAAGTCCTACTGGCGGCTAGTAATTATCGCCGATCGCTAAGCTGTAACACTCTTTCGGTGCTTAACTGCCATGCTACCCGAAGGAAGCACGAGGGCTGGGATAATGTCAGGTTGCCCTAGCCTAGGCAGGAGAAGTCTGGATGTAGAAGCCGGGTTCTAACCGCGAACCCTCCGGTCAGGAAATTCGCGCTGTAGACACTGAACCATCTCACCCCTATCGTAGATCACTAATATGCCGATCAGTANAACTCTTTCGGTGCTTAGCTGCCATGCTACCCGAAGGAAGCACGAGGGCTGGGATAATGTCAGGTTGCCCTAGCCTAGGCAGGAGAAGTCTGGATGTAGAAGCCGGGTTCTAACCGCGAACCCTCCGGTCAGGAAATTCGCGCTGTAGACACTGAACCATCTCACCCCTATCGTAGATCACTAATATGCCGATCAGTACCGAGCTAGGTTTTGGACGACTGTTTAAAATAACACTTGAGAACTCTCTTGTTCTCCCTGTTAGCCAAGGTAATTTTGTCATAATCTGAAACTTGAACCCGATTTAGTGCACAACTCTCACATAGAGGGGAATGCTCATGTGAGTGATCGAAAGTATATTAGTGCACAGGTGGTGATAGCCATAATACAGATCAGAAGGTGTATGTGCACTAATAGAAATTTTTAGTATGGTGGACAGCGGAGGGTTGCAACGCGTATAAAAATGAATACAATGTGAAATGGGAGCGAGTCAAAAGGGAACTTATCGTATGCGAGAGTCTCTTGGTAAAAGTCCGAACGGTGGGAACGTGTTTTCTTCGCAGTAGGGCTGCTACACGTGTTCCATGATTGTCCGTGGACTTAGAGTGCTTGGCTGACTCCTTACTCCCTGCGCGCGCGCGAGTCTGTCCTGACTGGGTTTGGTTTCCCTTTATGTGGATCCCAGTGCGTATACGTGGGCGCGTCGGCACATGAGTGGTTGCTACGCCGACTAGGCGGTGCAGACAAACGATGTCCGATGAGTCAGCTTAATGCGATGTGTTTGTGCGTATGGGAAAAAAGACAAGCCTCGCGATCCAGTGAGTGACTGTGAGTTGAACAGTCAAGTATGTGGGTGTCTGGGTCGCTACAAGTACACTTAAGATAACGACATCTTCACCAAGTTAGTGCCAGCATGAGAAACGATTGAAACCCAAAGTAAGAAGCTTATGCTGGTTGAAATTCATGTCACACTGTTAGTCACAACTTTAGAAAATTGCTTTAATGTGAAAGAACTTCGGTTTTGGATTTATTGATCCAATTCTTATATGAGATTTTCATTCCCTTCTTGACTGACTGACTTTGCCATTGTGACTGCCCACAAACGGAAGGGAAATCTTTGGTGAAATTAACTTGGTGTCAACGGAAGACTAAATGAATCCCAAATGAATCCCTCATTTGGGATATTCGTCACCCGTCTGTGCTTCACAGGGGCTACATCACCGTTTTCTCTGATGAGGGGAGAACTTGGCCTTAAAATCGCCTTTGAGTATCAATTCAAAGTCAACTCTCCTGGGACTGCGCAAACTTGACGGTGGTTTGAGGATGGTTTTATTCGGCGGAAATTTCAAGGGGGGATTTCAGCAACATCGGGCTAACTTGAAAGTCTTGTTTGACACTCGCCGCTCTATGAATCGTCAGGAGAGCATTTTCGGAAGGAAACTGACTACTTTTTCACCGATGCATGAGTTTGAATCTAATGAGCATCTGTTGAATGCAACTGGCCGATTGTCGAACGGTCTGACTTAGAGTACTGCTGTTTAATTAAGTTTTCAATTTTTTCCACTATTTTTACAACTGGCGAATGAGCGCGGGGTTCTGGAGAAATCTGTCCAAAACGTTTAACCAAAAGTTTAAATAGGCGATACATTTGTTCCAGTCTGACGAGTTCTGATAGGAAAAGTTTCAGCTGATCAGCTTTTACGAAAACTGACCACGTTTTCGAAATTATTGACTCTCTTAGAGAACCTGTACTGGAGTATGTCGAGAGGAGAGGATTAGGAGACACCCCAATCAATCGGATGAAACATAGTTCTGCCTAGTTGTTACGACACCTTGTTGTCAACGCTAGTTGTCAAGGCTAATTGTTGAACAACACATGCTGATGGTAGCCATGGTAAAATGTTGTTACACAGTTCGAAATAGATCCTGGTGACAATGTCATCATCGCGGCCTACCAAAATGAAAAAAACATGTTCAGGCTGAGAGTACTTTAATGATTCAGTTCCAGTTCGTTTAGTGTTCATTTTGGGGAAGGGGTCGAGAAAGTGATGAGCAAACAAAACGCTGGAGATACATGCTTACTCTGAATAGTGTTTTTTGTTCACTGGACTACAAAAATTACTTTAACGGTGAAGTAGGTACGTTGTTTTCGACTTGTGCAAAGCACCCTATTAGTACATTTTGGAAGAGTTCTTATGTGGCCTTTTTACTATTGTATTCGAGTAGTTGATCTTTTGACATCTTTAACATTCGGGTTCAACCGTCGCTCCACACTGGGTCGAATTATCCAAGGTGGGCCGTAGTAAGGTGGCGATATCTGCTGATTACAGTGCACTCTTAAGCAAACCAAATTTTGTTTTATGTACTCATAGAAGGGTGTATTTGTGCCGAAATTCAAGTAGACATCGGGGAAAATGTATACTAAAATGCACGGCAGATATAGATCAAAAGGATTTCAGGATAACAACAATGTCACACAGGACCAAAGAAACACCCTGCCCTCTAGGTAGGGTGAAGTGCTGCAGTAAGTGGTGCTGAAAATGCCTTGTTTTGCCTTTTTCTCTCTCAGCAGGTAAAAAACCGAAGACCATTTGTTGGGAAAATACACACATTTTTAGACTCCATTGATCCTAACAGGAGACTCACAAATGAAGTCCTCTTTTGCAATATTATTCAGCTGAATGTTCAACACCAAGGCCGCCTCATGTTTCAGATGGTACGGTATTCGAGAAGCACACGCTACTCTTGAGGTAGCTAAATATACTGCGACATTCCATAGCCGGTTTCGGTGGGTGTATTTTGCCGACTGCACAAAATTTTGTGTTCACGTGAAATATGAGTTTGACGGACCCACGGGAAACGCAGTCCTATACAGAATGAAACAACTAGTTGATTTTCAGAGTTCTGGACAATCTTATGTGTGGTGTGTTCCATTAAAAACCTCGTGTTTTTCGTCAGTTTTATCATTTTAGTTAAAAAGCTTTCTCCTAGTAGCTGGCTCCACGGGAGAAAACTGCACTCTTCTTTGCCTTGGTGGGGTTTCAGCTACTAGAATGAAGCTTCGGGAATGTGGCTCAGTTGTTTTAAGCCTCCACCTTCAAATGAGGCATCCATTCTCCAAGCACACTGCAGAGTGAAGAATGACTGGAAACAACGCGACTGTCAGCGTGAACATTTCGAGGTCATTTTATACTGTACCAATCCTTCGACTTTAACGACGAAGAATTTTCTCTGCCAACCTGCAGAACATAGGCAGGTACAGCGACCACGTACCAGGAGATTATAAGGGCTTAGTGATCACCTCTGGTTGCCGATTACTAGTTTACTTCACATCAAAAGTATCAGGTGGAGTTTTAGACACTGTACGTCCGTCCGAATTCCGGCGATAGAATCTCTGGGCGAAGAATGAAAGGAAACATTCCCACCTGAATTACCCGTCTGAATACACTGTTTCTTGCTTGAAAGTGGGTTAGTTGTGATAAGTATATTATAGTGAATATAAGTCATTCGTCTGCTTTATCTGGTTTTAGGAACGGTTCTCTCTGTTCTACTGTAGTTACGAAAATTCCTGAAATCAGTAGGTCCAAACTCAACAGTTTACTAAAAATATTCATAAACGTCACTCGTTTTCGCGTAATACAGACGTCAAATCGTTATTTCTACAAAAAAGATTGCCTATTCATATGATTAGTAATGGCAAGTTTGCCCCGGTTTAGATAAAAACCAATCATGCTTAGTCGGTGGTAGAGTTGAGTTTATGAACATGGACGCTGAACTAAGCGAACGTTAATATACAAGGGAAGGAATGAATTAAGAATAGAAAACAAAACTTTCGTAAAGTCTAACACGCTGCCAAATCTCTGGGTTTCGTTCAAATAGTCCAAATTTTGTTTCCAGTGTAGTAAGTATCAGACGATAGAGATCTTTTGCATTTTTTCGCGTATGAGAAGTCCACCGTCGGTGTCAGATGGAAGGCTCCCACCAACAGCTGTGCTCAAAAAGCCAGTCCCAACCACTCCACTATGAACTGAACCGGTTTGATTAGAATTAATACGCCCCAATGTTGAGGCATGTATGGGCGCATTGCGAGGATATTTCCGTTGTAATTTGCTTGATCCGTAAGTCTGGTTTTTTGATAGATCCTGAGTAGAAGTGAGATGCTGCTTGGATGTGAAACTATGTGCATGAAGGAGGTTAGTTCGTGAGTGTGCATAGTGGGATCGATGATCATTGTTCTCTTGGTGTTTTTTGACGTACACACCTGAAAGCAGTCCAGCAACGTCACCGTCCGCAACCATATTCGTTCTGGAAGTACGGTGATGGTGTACCAGATGCGAATGTCCGGATACCGATTTGATCTGATTGGTACAATGACGATGATGATGGTGATGTTTCATTCCTAGATGACTGGACGCTAGCGAGTGTTTTGAACCAGTCAATTCGGCCAGCGGATCCGAAGGCATTTTCTTTTGTCTCTTTCTTTCTCGGCAATATATAAATGCCACGAGACCAAAAAGCAACGCAAAGGTCAGGGATACTCCAATTCCAATGTGCAGAAAGTTGTAGGTCAGTCCTTTAGAACCTAGAGAAAGTAGAAAAGCATCATATACCATATTAGAAACCTGCTTACTTGAAACTTGTAATCTGCTCTCGTCTGATAGAATATTGAGGGAATGTCTAGTCTGTTTTGAAATGAACTCATTAAAACGTTCAAACAAACGACCTAAGTCCTGGACTTCATTAATCGGCATCCAGTTTCCTGAACTATAGAAACAAATAAACAGTTTGGACCATTTGTCAGCCAATTAAATCCTTTTCAGACCATAAATAAATAGATTAAGTTGTGATTGACTGAAAAACTGACTGACTTTATACGTATTCATTCATCTTCAAAGTGCTGCAGCTGCACGCTTATTAATCAGAGCATTTTCTGAATGATTCTCGTGATTTTGGAGTATTGTAAAGACCTGTTGGAATGGGCGACTTCAATCCGTGCCTAAGAATATATACTAGTGATTTTGACAAGAACACATATAGCCGGTGTGGATGTTTATGGTGTTTTTCACCCGCCCTGTTCATGGAAACGCTAGCCACACTACTGGGGATTATTTAGGCTGAGAAGTTTGCTTGTACGTTTTTACCTGTCGCTTTGCGTTTGTGTTCACATGTTCTGTAACTTCCAAGTTAACAACAGACCATACTATGTCCACGTAACGCAATATGTTTCAGAGCCACGTTAATTTAACCCGTTCCTAGCTACTTTCTAGTGTCTAAACAGTAATTTAGGAGAAGTATGTTCCCCAGCACTCCCACAAGCAGACAAACCCTTATCGAACTGAGAAAGGCTTTTCAGGGAAGTGATTCACACTCAAAGGAATATGGGTTGACTACCATTGCCCACCCTTCCCATTGGAAGATCACCAGCCACAGCGGGAGGCTTAGAGTCGACGTTTAAGGAGACAAAATAATTCAACTTGTATGGCATAAAGATTTCGCACGCATGGATATACATCTGTTTGTGTATTTTGTGATGGGCCTCAAAAGATAGTTTGTGAAGGAGTTTACATATATCAGCTCATGTACAAATCATGCAGAACACATGTTAACTGTGCTGATGACCCTTCTGGCTTAGCTCCATCCAAAACTGAAGCCGAATGCCTAAGTGGTCCAAAAACAGCCATAACAAGCATAATTTCGGCCACTCAGACTCCATCTTACCTATGAGAGTTTGCGCATCTGTCGACCAGTTATACTTCAAGTTCGGCCACCCTAATTAGTGACACTGAAATTATTATTGGTAGCAGCAGGCAGGACACTGTGCCATCCTGGTCGCTTTCTGGCTTGTCGTCACAAACTCAGAAGATACCAGTAGTGTCGTAAATTTTATTTTTACTTTCTAATCTGAAAAATGTCTAAAAATCGTTTTTATTGACCGATATATTTCTAGTGGATTCTCGTCAGTTCAAGGTATCGTAGGTGTCAACCCGATCTGGTTATTCACCCTTTGTAGAATTTCATTAAATGTCAGTAGGTAACGTGAGACGTTGACATTCTGCGCTAATTATTTTGAGAATTAAAAATACATTCCCTTCAAAAATACGGTGTACATCAGTCGAGAGAAAGTCTATTTCACTCGAGGGATTAAGTAGTCTCTGTGGAAATCCTTGTACTCCCTCTAATTCAGGTATGCTGGGAGGAATTAACTGCATTGAGCAAGTTTACTTAGAAACATGGCTAGATAAAAGGTAAGCAGCAGCTGTCAGCTATGGATGCGCACATCGAAATTCGAAAAAAAGTTTTGCCAGGGTCTAAGCAGCTTTCACCGCATGAACCTTGGTTACCAATTTAATTATCAAGCTGTTTCACCGTGTTGCTTGATCAAAACATCCTGTGTGATGGGAAGTGATCAAACTGACGTTGCAGAATAAAATGTAGTGACCGGAGATTTTTTCTTCTCATGCCTATTCCTTGCCTTTCTAAACAACATCAAAAGCCGGAATTAGATGAAGGGCAACTCGACCGGTCTCCTAATTTGAGTTTGAATATGGGGAGTGAAAATGTGTTAACTCACATATTGAGCTTCTACATTTTACTCAGTCGGGCTATGTTTTGGAACGACAGTTTTACCAAAGTCTGCCTGTCTGTAGACAAAACTTCATCGTGATTCTCAAGAATATACAGAACCTTGTTTCCATCCACTGCATCGTTTTGAATTTTTCCCGTCACGCTCGTTCTAGTTAGGCGAAATCATTTTATTTACATTTTTAAGGGGCATGTGAAAAATCAGCCGTGATGCAGACAGTTGGTAATGTGTTTTTATTATGTGTTAGCGATCACAATGCGTTGAGGAACAGAAGTATTCTCAAAGAACAATAAGCCAGGCTGTATTCTTATTATTCCCGTAATGTGATAACTGACTAAACAAACAAAAGAAGAATTAAGATGAACCGGTTACTAGGTTAGGGCGCTACGGTTTGAACCGTATATGTGATATAACTCACAGTTCACCATTTCATCCGATTTATCAATAATCAGTTCACCATCCTCCTCGTATAACCCACAATTGTGCAGGCCGTTACATGTGAGGCCTTGGGAAATGCAATGACGAGTGTGCTCACAGAAGAATCCGGGACAAACTCCTGGTTAAGGAAGAGAAGTTGCAGTTGTGATTTCAAAAGTTCATTTAATAAGCATTCGGGAGGAAATCCACTACCAATTTAGTCAAAATTGTGTAACAAAAATTTCCTTTTTTAAGTTCAAGATTAATCGTGTTAAAAGCAAATATTTGTTAGATGCCAGCAGAAAACCAGAATACTAATACGTATAGACCATCTCTCTGTACTGCCTTAAACATTTTTCGGAATCAAGTGCGACGATGAAAACATTAAAGGCCACCAATTCTTGATTCAGTTTTTTCGTTCAAATTAACAGAGACTTCCTTCATGTGGAGGTGTCGAAAACTGGACTAGATTTATACCCTGGTGACCAAACATTAAGCTCAGTTGATGATTTCATATGCGCATTGAGCAGATGGAATAATAAGCGATTCTAATTATTTTAGGTGTGCGCTTACGCAATTCACTGATCAGTTCATGAAGCTAGATTACGATATGCGTGAGAAATTTTGGCGTTGAAACATGCGTGTAAACACCAGCAGCTGAAAAACGACAAAGAACGCTGAATGGCCTTCAAGGCGCAGTAATCTCTAGCACAGTCAAGATTCGCACATCAAGCAAAAAAGTGTCCGTCATACTGGGTCAGGTGTAAAAGTCAATGGCAAGAATGCACACTCAACTCCGTGCACCACGCATTAAACTATGGTAAGTGCGTAAAGAGTGAACGCATGACACACTGTAAAATTAATAAATCCCGGTTCAATAGCAGTCTTGGTGGATTGAAGAAAGCAGATCCCTCGATGAAATGATTATCGGTTGGTGAATCAAAAGTCACCACTAATGATTACACGTTGAAGCGTGGTGATGGCGAGGGAACACATTCCACACAATTACTCTGGACCGATCCGCATATACTTTACGTCCACCACAGTTACTCGGTGCTCTCGGACAGTGATTAGGTGAGGTTTGATTAAAATCGTTGGCGTAGGTGTTCTCAAATCCTCCAGGATGGTATATCCTAGGCGACGTAGGCTCTCCGTGATTTCCTTTTCAGCCCGATTACGAAGAGCAAATTTGGCATCATATACGATGCAGCCGGAATCTCTTCTGCTGACCACAACTTCCACGGCAGAAGATCATCTGGCCACCATGATCATGCCAGGCGCTTATAACTTTCCATTTGTGTAGAGGATGGAGGCTTCGAGGGAGGCAAAGTGACCAAACTCCACAATGGGGAATATTGGCTCTGTTTCGCAAGAAGAAGCCAACGGCTCTTCCTTGGTGTTTACGCAAGTACCTTATACCCGGACGAGAAGGCTGAGATCAATAGCAACCTTGCTAAAGACAACATCATTGAAGACATTGCGGTTCTTAGATAGAGGCTTTTCTACACGCGTTATACATTGCATTGAGATGGTCGAATTAACGCTTCGGATGCCGCCTACTGGCGTGGGTATGCCCGAATGATGAAGTCAGTGCACAAATCTCAAGGCTCGGATCATTTGTGTCGTCAAAAAGTCGTATCACTGAATCTCAGGGGTCATGTGTACTAGCTTACAGTAAGAGGTATATTGTCACTGTCAAGACGAGTGTTGTTCTCGTTGCCTTCTTCAGAATGACATACTGCGAGGTGGATAACGTGTGGCTGAGCGGTAGGCCGACAAAGAGGCCACGAAAAGGGCGTGTTGCTGGTATGGCTTCCACTATGTAATCCCATGGGTTCCTTGTACCCAGCAGGAGACACAACAAAAAGTGACGTCTAATCGATGTTAGTAGTGTTCGTGGTGGCGGTGTCCAGACGGTTTGACTGGGCCTGTGGAGTTCACAGTGTTTGTATGAGTTGGTTCTTTATGGTTTCTTGTGTGTGGGTGGACAATAATGCTCTGCCAAAATTAAAAAAAATATCCCATTATTCTTCCAAGAGAACATCCAATGATGCAAGGCATTACTAACTAGTATTATGAATCTGACGGTCATGTGGACATTTCTCATACCCTAGTAACTATACGGCAACAATAATGGATTTTGAGCCCTACGGCTGCAGTCAAGTGGTGCATGGGATTGAATTGAACCAGCCTTTTTGGCCGAACAATTAATGGAAGACTTTCCAGTTGCCGGTGTGCAGCCAGAGCAGTTATTGGCAGCAAACGGGCTTGAATACTTCGGACCGTTTCAAATACACGAAGGTCGTATTGAGAGGAAGCGATTTGGCCGTAGTTTCATTTATTTACTAACACGTGCGCTACATATAGAAGTGGCTTATTTGATATACGATGTCTTATTCCCCGTGGCATTTGCTCGACTCGTTATCCGACGAGGAACCCCAAAGGAGATGTGTAGTGATAAAGGCAATAACAATGTGGGAGTGGAGGTGGAGCTGAAACCGTTCATGAAGACTTTAGATTATACTGAATTGAAGAATGACGTGCTGCGATGGCATGCTGATTGGCACCTCAACCCTCCTTATGCTAACCACAGCGGTGGCATCGAGGAGAGGGTGATAAGGTCGATTCGACTTGTTATGATTGTAGTCCCACGGGAACAAAAGCCAAAAGAGGAATCGTTAGCAACATAATTGACAGAAGTGGAACGAATACTGAACAACCACCCACTGGTTCCAGCGCTGGATGATTCTGAAAATACTGGTACTCTGATCCCGGAACATTTATTAGTATCCAGAATATCATATGTCCCGGTTGATGAAGTTCTAGGAATACGACTCCAATATACTCGGTTTTGGAGACAGAGTTATTTGATGGCCGACAACTTCTGGCGCCACTGGCTGACAGAATACATTCCATTGATTCCAGTGCGGCATAAATGGATGACTTTCAAGGAAACATATAAGTGGGTGGTTTGGTAATGATGATTGGATAGCAACACACGCGCGACACTTCATTGAAGGGGATCGTAACCCCCACAACTGTAGTGCTCAAGAATTTCGAAGCTTCAGTAACCAAAGAAATACGGAAGTTATGTATGCTATAAGAGGTAGGTGAGCAGTCAGGACATGAAGGACTGTGAGAAAGGACTGTGGCTGGAGTCCGTGGTGTCATTTTCGCTTTTCATTTTTGGTGTCAGATCCTGCCTGGGAATAGCTTAAGGGAAGCCTAGCTTGAACCCACGTTTACCGATTCCATCTCGGGTATTTGTTATTTGCCCACAATTCCTCATTAACTTTTTACCCTTAACATAACGAGCCAATTCTGACAAACAATCCTCGCGCGATTTTCTATCACTTGCATTAACACGTGTTGTCCTCATGCGTTTGTCCGTAATTCACGTCGATTTGCGTTCTCAACAGGCTTTCTGTGGACTTAGACCAATTTGTGTATGAATTAGACGAAACGCCCCATAATGAGTTTGTGTCCTCCTATATAAGCATTTTGTAGGCGAAGTAAATCACTTTGTTGGTAAATCTCAAGACTTCACAGTTCTTGGCTTGTCATTTCGTGCATCACAAATCGGGCTTCCCAGAATACAATAATAAACGAAGGACTTGATTTGGCCGGATAGAGAAGCTGTTCTAACGCGTGCAGTTCTATCATTAATGAGCACGCGGAAAAATCAGTTGGTTGTTACATTCATTCCACGCAGACATGTTGCTTGTTCATTACCCGTGTCAGGCGCGGCCTACTACCCAGTCAGCCATTATCACAAGCCGTGTTCGCGGAGACCAAGGCGGGCTCAAATCTCAACATATGAGCTCTGAAGATAGCCACCTGATCGTTTCCTTCCCGTGCCACTGGGGTCGTTTGTCATGTTTTGTCAACTTTCATAATTAATTTGCCTGCAGGTGACTGCACGGGCCGGGTACTTTCCAATGGTTGCATAGAAAGTACATTCCGAGACATAAGTTCGTGAGCGTCACCATTACGAAGATACAAATAGTTGCCATTTCGTGTTAACGGCCTAGCGTCCCCACATTGACAACTGTATATTTGCAGTTGGAACTTTTTTATTAATTGGGCGGATTTTGGTGCTTCTTTCTGAGTACAACAATTATTAGCGAGGTTAGATTTCAAAGATGGATGGGGATAAAATTTTACAAGGTTATTAAATATATCACTTGACTGTGCATCTATGGATAAGTGTAAAAATACGCTAGTGTATTAGGTTATCTTATCATTCTGTTGCCGCTTGTGCAGATAATTTCTCCCACTCACTCCGCTCATCTGGACGCCTTGGCTTGCCTAGAAGCTGCGTAAAACATTTAGACCGGTATCGAAAAACTTCTCTAAGGAGTAAAAATTGTCTTTATGAACAGGTTTTTCTAACCTGCAAAATACTATTAAGACCTAAAAACGCAATCTACCGTATGTGGTAGCACAGCGCAAGAGGGACCAATCGGACTATTTAACAAGATAGTAAAATGTCCACATATATTTGATGAAAACATCCGATATCTAAAACTCCCACTATTTCAGGTTGTGATTTGGGCGCTTAGTAGAATATGTCCAGAAAATCAAGTCTCACTAGGAGTAAATAAGCTGTCTTCTGAAAAATTCACATGGTGTGTCCGTCAACTGAAGTCCTCAATTTTCTCCGTGCTCCTGGAAACGAGCAACATTTCTTCCTTGTAACTTATCCATATGATCGTTCATCAAAGTATCAGCTTGTTGCTTCGTGTTCTTCAGATGCTCAAGTACAGAAACAAAAACCAAGAAATATTGATCCTGCTTCAGCAGCATAATGAAGCCAAAACGATGATTTTCCAAAATGTGCTCAATACTTAGAGCACTGCAAATGTCTTTGCAGTAAATCCTGCTAAATGGATTTCCTGTTCTTTCAGTATGGATAATTTAACTAAAAAGAGTGGAACCAGAAACTGCATCCAGAAATTTGTTAATCTTACCATCGTCATCGATCGGTAGCAGCTCCGTCCATATTAGCCGAAATCCTGTTGCTCCTTGCGTGTTCTGCGTACTCAAAAACCTGGAAGGAAATAAATGAATAACGTCAATATATTTGGACTGTCCTCATAGAGATGCATATATTTAGGTACCCAAAATCTGAAGGACAATCACGCGATTAGCAGTGGCTGAAATCAGAAACTTATGTGCTTATCAAAAAATCAGTGTTGCTTCATGAGACTCTTATCGGCGTATAAAGGTTGAAAAAACTCTAAGAAATGGTAGTCCTGAATACTATTTGTAAGGGCGGTCCTTCAGCCACAGTTTCTGGAATAACGAGTGTTTGGGACTGACGTCCAATATAAGGCCAGGAAGAAGAGAAACTGTTTGCAAAATCGGAAACAAAATATTTATCTAGCTTATGATAAATCTGGGTCACATTTATCTTGGAAGAAAAAACACAGGCTGTTCGTGCGATTTTCGGCTAATTGATTTCTGTTGCGAAGACTGTCCAGTGTGATGGCCATAAACAAAACACTTAAGCATACATTGGTTATCCAAGACCAACGACACTTTGGAAAAAAGTTATTTCAGTACAGTGAATCTCAGCTTGTTTGTCAAGAATCAGCCAACATGTCACAACAACTTGTGCCAAGAACCTTAATTGCTCGTACAGGAAGTGTGTTTTCTTATCAGCTAGGCTTTTTCAAAACCGTCTTGAGGCGTATTTTTTTAGTTTTAAACTTGAGTGAGACATCCTGTCCTGTTAATTTCGCAGGAATGCGGAACACATACGCTAGCTGACAGTGATCATCTATGCATAGAAGGCAAAATTCAGAAGGAGCTCGATGTGATGTTAGGTAGGCTTGCAAACGCATAGGAACTTAGTTGAAGGACCGGAAAGAGATGATTTCATCTACAAGATGGTTTCTTGAGCATAAAACTTTACTGAAGAAGGAATAAGCTTCCAGCTGATAAATATTACACTGTTGTCAAGTGGGTACTTTTATCTAAGCTTGATAAAATTTCTGCCTACGACTGCAAGTAGAACTTTGAAACCAGACACTAGAGGCAGCATATTTGAGATGCGCTCTATTGCTCATATTTACAATGGCAGTTTTTTAAAACACTTGTGCGAAGCTTTTGAGGAACGTTTACGGAGACAAGGAATTGCAGTAGAGAGAGACTCAGGAATTTGAAAATTTCACGAATGGTTCAACCAAAGCGTCGTCAACCAAATCCGGTTCCAATAATCTGTGAACCACTGGAACACTGTATGCCTTGGATCAAACACGCTTGATGAAAGCGACGATAGGCTACCCACGGTAGCACGTCACTCAGAATTTTCGGAGAAAATGGCTGTGTTTCGGTGGACGGCGATCAACTCCTCCAAATCTGAAGTAGGTGCTGTCAGGTACAGTTACAATCGCGGATTCGCTTCGCGTGCGGAGGTTTTCTATGCAGAGAGGAACATTTTAGCAGACGCTATCTGTCCTTATTTTACGTATCAGTGAATCCCTTATAGAGCGGTAAAACACCGAATCCAGTGAGCCACCCAATGCTAACGCTTTAGACCCTTACTAAACTCGACAGAAGTTTCGGTTGGTTCAGATGAACATTCCCCACAAGTTCCAATGACTTCAAGAGGGAACGAGATCACCGAGTGAACAACCGTGAAAATAAGTGCCAATGCAGGCACTGTTCAGAGCTTTATTAGTATTCTTAGCGAAGAAGTCTATTTTTTTATACATTACTCCAGAGGACCACCTCATTACACCAGCAGTGTTTTTTACTCGCCGTGTCTGAAGATATTGCCATAAGAAGTTGACTCAAATATATGCTTATACAGATTTTGTCTGAATTCCAACCATGCTTCATGACAAAAGTTAGAGTCCCACATATCGCTGATAGTCTTATTAATGTAAGACTACTTCAGTCGAGCTGGTTGGAGTTCCTGTATTTATCAACATAACATAACATGGATTGGTTTGCATATTAGATATAAAACTTTTAATCCATGTGAAACGGCCACCTAGTAAGAGTGAAGAAGTTAGCAGTTGATATTTTGGGCACAGGAGATAGGCATATAGATGGCGTCATTGCGCTTCGGGTTCGGAATAAAAGCCAGCTGTTTAATGTTACTTGTCTGGGATGTCAGACATCGGTCAAAATATTATGCACTAGGTTTGCCCGGAAACTGACTATCCGCCGTTGATAAATAAAGATTCACTATTGAGCGGTTTGATCAAAAGGGACTGATCGACTGCGGCAGTAATGAATGGATCATGTAACTCCCAGTCGGAACACCTGATTTGTTGGCTTCATCATGTCGTTACTAATGGGGATTTTGATGGATCCAGTCATTGTGGCATATCATGTGCAAGGAAACGGATGTTTTCACATATAACCAGTAGTACCCTTCAATATTGTCCTCCTAATCACATCCACATTTGTACATTTCCCCCCATTTTTAAATGGGACCATTCAAAATGGAGAACATCTTTACTGGCGGTGAGACAAATACTGATTCTATTTTTGTCTGTCGCTTTGAGTCATCTGTGCAACTAAGTAAAAGCTCTCTGACTGGTTTCAGCCGGAAAATGTAAAGCTGTAGGCGGAACTGAAGTAGTACAACGTTAAATCCATCAGCGTGTTCAACTGATCATTCGTATTTGTCAAATCATCTAATAAACAACTGAGACCAACAGTTTTTGTTAACTTTCGGGTCCGCATCCCCGATAAGGTACACAATGTTTGTGGCTAGCTAGTGCATCCGATTGGGGCACAAAGAGTCAGCACAAAGAATAGAATTAATTTGGATGTGGTGCAGTGTACTGCACAATGTATGCTAACAGTGAAAACAAAGTGACAACCAGTGGTCGCTTGCACAGTTCACAGTGGACTCTTACAGGTTCGGATACTGGTACTTGCTTTGACGAAAGCAGAAGGTAACTGTCACCAAACCTGGAAGAGCCTCAGAACTCAAATATACTATTTGCAGAGCACATAGCAGAAAGGCAAGTAATACCGTATCTTAATAAATTTAAACCAAAGCAGGAACAACACAGTTTAACGATTAACATTTTGTCCTTATGATGAAAGCTTACTTCAAATTATCGGAGAAGAGACGTAACAAACTACTCATAAGTTCACTGGAAAATCTTCGACAGGCCACTACTGGCCTCGCCCTTCACGGGCATCATCATGTGGGCGCAGTCACAGAGTTTTGTCAACATAATGTTCCACCCAAATTCGAATATGGACAGATACGCTCATTTTCATATTCATTTGCTTTTGACGGGAGATTTGTCTAGAACCTGATTTTCTTAAGCAAGTGAATGTACTTCATCAGGTCACATGAGGTTGCATTTAGTACGACATTAGAGACATCGCTTAAGAAAATCACAAACAGGTGAATCAGCTGAGTTCCATGTGAGCCTCCCATCAAAACCAAATTGATATGCAATGAGTGCATTTGTTGAACTCTGCTCAATTTGGGTCCAAGTAGAACATGAGTTTGACGGAAACTCGGGGACTGCGCCTACCCGGTGAGCCACTAGAAGGGCACAATTGGTCGAGGGCTGTCGAGGATTTTTCGGCAAAATTATGGGTGGTGCATTACGCCTATACAATGTGTTTTGATATCGTCGCGAGGTTAGGACGCTGAGGATAAATACAACAACGCATTCCTCTTTGACAGACAAGTCGACTGCCATTTAAGGTGCACGAGCAAATGAACCTTGAATAGCTTGGATTATTTCCGCAGTGCCCTCATAAAAAACGATGGTGAATGGTTGGGAGTATAGCTGGACGACGTCCTTAAATCGTCAGGCATGCAGCTAAAAATCGTAGCATATCAGGTTGATTCTGATACATCAGTACACCTTCGATTAACCAACCTGCCTGGTTAACCTCTCTTCATGCTGTTATAAATAAAAACTTGTTAGACAACACACGAGTGACCGTAAACCAGAAATAATTTACCAGTACGATTCGTAGAGTAAACCACTTCAGTCGATTAGCAGCAGCAGCGAAAAAGTATCAAACTAATAGCAACCTTAGTTACAGGATTTGGAAATATTGAGATCCGACTACATTAGGGCCACTACATCGGAAGCATATTCAGACATGAACATATAGCCATCTGTGCGTAGACATCTAGAACGGTCAACTGTCGTTACGGTCTAGAATTACACGTATGATAATGGCTCACTTTTTAGAGCGAGATGGACGTGGTGTGGAAGACAAACTGCTCTGACTTTTTAAACAGAACTGAAATCAGACTCGACTACGGTGAGGATTATTCAGGAGGGAAATCAACGGAAAACAGACGTTGACAGAACCTGATCTTCTGACATTTGTCATAGAGGAATAAACAGTTAAATACTTCAGAATACAGTAATTGCAGTGTGTTAAGTAACCAAATGCAAATAGCTGACCGTGTGCGCTAAAAAACCAAGCCTGAGTTTCACTGGAAATGCGGCCACAAAAATCCACCCATTTGGTGTATTATAATTTGCCTAAAAGTCAAAGAGACGCCAGCATTCGAAATCAGCGTGGATTATCACACCGAAAACCAATGGAGCGATAATTCACACAAAACAAGGCTATGAATGCAATTCTGTCATTTAGTTGGTCGGTTGGACTATGGTTACCCATTTTCTGACCAAAAAAACTTTCAGCGTTTTTTGGCTGAAATGGTGGAAAAGTGGGGGCGTTTGCCATTCGTTTTCAATAATGGACGTGCTATTGACGGAGCCACCAGCCAACGCCGTTGGACAACAGAGTAAATCATAATGTGGCAACGGTACCTAAACAAGTTCACAATAAATCCACGTAAATGCCTCCATTATGACAACAGAAAAATGAAAGAAACAATGCCTAAATATTGGTGGCCGTGTTTCAACTGTAAAAATCGTTTGGACCAAAGTTTTCAGAGATCTCGCACTACAGCTTCGATATGCTTACTTGTTCAGCGAGCGATCGGTCTATCGCGGACCAGTGTACAAATAAACGATTATATTATCGAGGCCACACTAAGGGAATAGACGCTGGTGAAAGGTGGATATATTAACAAAACACACAGAGATTTTATTTTATCGCGTGTTCGCCCAACAATGGGACAATTATTAGGTCTATTTGGTCTACCGAATAAATCAGACGTTTTGAAATGAAACAGGACTATACGAGGCAGACCGTATTAAACAGTTCAAACCGGATGATATGTATCTGTCGCCTAATCCATGAGGAATACTTCCCGGCTAAGATAAATTGACCCTAAACCCAAAGGGTGTGAGGACGCGCATACTTGTCCAGTGCATGTACTACCATGCTGGTTGGTGAAACTTAAACTTGGGAACTACTGTTTACTCATAGGCTGTGAGTAATTTTATTGATGCAAGGCTTATCTAGGTGGTCAAGAACTGAATTCAGGCCGTTAGACGCAAAGCTTCAAAATGATGCTAGAAGATTGATCCATATAACCAATTTTACGTTGACAAATCTGGTCGAGGTCTCCCTCCAAACTGACTATTATTAAAACCAGAATTGCGATTCTGTTGTGGTTTCTCATGCAAATGTTCAAAGTGACCAGGTCATTTTTCAGGGAGAAATTTTACAGGAAGTCGGCAGGAGAACGTTACGATATGAAATTGAATGAACTCACCGTATAGCAATTGTGTTCCTAGAAATTATAAGCTGTGTGGGCTTGCTCTGGTTACCACACAATTCAACGGCAGGCTGGTTGGAATCTGCCGTATAAATTCGCAGCACTGCGCGTGAGCAATCTGTAAGACAATATAGAATTTATTAGGAGGATCGGACAAAGTTGGAAGTGAATGGCTTTGAAAATGCACCTTAAATGTATAGTAGACAGCTACAAACAGCAAACACCACCCATAATTTAAAGCCATGGATGGACTTAGTGCTCGCTGTCATCTGAAAAGTAGTCATAGGACAAATCATTTATGACAAAACCCTTTGCAAAATGCTTTTCTGAGTTTCTCCCACTGGCAATAAGTTCCACACGAGTAGCATCAAGTCACTTTTTGCTTCATTCACACCCAAATAATTTTTGATTTCGAGACAAAAATGGGAAACTAGTATAAAAATTGCACTCAAAAAACAGTAATGTATGTCTCATGACAACCCAGTCTTAGTCGCTTTAATGGTTCCCGACGGGATCTGGTGCAGGACGCCTCAAGAATGTTGGGTTTCCTGGCTATATTACAGGGTAAAATGTTAGTCCGGTCGAAACGAAATGTGTGGATTCAAACATGCTTATTTACCTCAATTTCAAATTTTTTCAAGTTTGTGGTAAAAAAGGCGTTAAAAAGAAAATGTAGGATTAGTTGTTTTCGACCACATACTGTAGCGGAGACAAATTGAGGTATAACCGCCAGGTTTCGGAAGTTTTAATGCATCTGTGCTTGTCCACGACGTCACAAGGCGCAAATGATTCATTTGAAACACTGGATATTTTCAAAGGCTGTCTATATCTGCGAAGCATTATTAAAGTTTGAAATCCTCAAAGCGATTGTCCTAGAGAAGCAACTTAAAATAAACCCTCCTAGTTTTATCAAAAGCAATATTCCAAAACCTAATGTAGACCACCAAACATCAACTGTCATTGATTAAAACGGCCGTGGTCACTCAACAATTCTGAGAGCATATTTAGGCAGAAGTTCAACTCCTCAGTTTCCAAGGCAAGCTGAACATAAACTACTTCCTTTTCGAGCATACTAATGGCTTCCTTTCTGGTGAAGTGTAGCTGTTCAGTTCACAAAACTTTCCTGAAAGCACCTTTTTTTCAGATAGTACACAGATAATCTCCAACCCCATGGATACCCTACAGAGTAGTCTTGTTCACAGAACTACTGAGCGTTTTGACGATTCGACGAATGCTAGGCAGTATGAGCGCTAGGTGCTCTCCCATATTGTGACCGAGCGATCACACTAATGAAGTAAACACAGCAAGGAGCATTTATTATACGCGGCCGTTACCCCAGAGAGAATTTCAAATTCACTGGCGAACAATGTTCTGCCAAAATGACACCGGACTCCCCCTAACTGAATTTCAAAATCAGGGGCTTTGAAGTGAAAACATTTCATTTTTAGTCGGTTGACAGAATTTCAGTACTCGTCGCTGATATAACACCGGCTTTTAGGTAGAGCTACTTATTCATGCATTCATTCGCGCATTGTTTTATGCGATACATGGACCAATTTCGTCTGCACTTCTAGCATTATCGTGATTCAGATTTGTTATGAAGACCAGCGAGGATTTTGTATCTTTACCACAACTATCTGTATACTAACATGAAAAGCAGCAAATGGAGTTAAAACACAGTAGTGTGGGGTGGTTACTGCGTCCTGCCCGTCACACAGACGATGGAATAAGTTAAGTTTACAGGTAGCACGAATCAGAGGGTGAACACTTTTGACAATGTCATGAGAACAAACCACCGAGTAGAGTTGGGTGACATTTAGCAAGTGGAGACCAAATTTGTGAAAACAGAATTAGCGATTGAATAACTACATGCGGAAATTACCCCATGGGAGAAAGCGGGTGTATTAATGGATTTACGTGGCGAAACTTGCGTCGTGGGATTTTGAGCTAGAGTTATCAAAATATTGCTGTAATGACTTCTTGGACTCAACGTCCTAAAAACGTTCCAATAAAACTTAGCAGTAGATGCATTGTGTATGAGAATCGGAGTAAAGGAATTTTATTTTGCCCTAATACAGCTTGTCCTTATCATTCCTCATCATTTTTTGAGACATACTTCAAAACATTGGCGGCTGTTTACAAAGGAAAGACGCTAACTGAACCCACTGATATTTGACTGAATTAGTAGGAAGTTTGTGATACAGATAACATATGCACAGGTTGATTCATGAATCTCAAGACGTCAATTGCTTGCCGTCGGAGAAAAGGCATTAAACAGATGTTCATCTTACGAGTGGGTGGGCGTGTCAAGCACTAGAGAGAAGCATCTTTGTAGCGGTGCAAACATGTGATAGTTAATAAACCATACGTCTGCCCAAAGGAAAGCGCTTTGGTTTCTCCATACATTTTTGAGCGACGCACACGGTCTGATGATTAGATTTAAGTTGGCCGTAAGCTATCATGGCAGTTGGAGCTATTATTTTAAGTTTTCGAAGAAATAACAGTAGCAAGAAATGGAACTCAAGATATCGGGACTGGGACAAAAACCTGTCTTATGTGTAAAACAGCGGATTTGCAAAGCGCCTCTAACAAAACAATAATCTTGAGAGAATTTTTTTTGCGGTGGCTGAGAAAAATTTAAAGTCTGCTTTCCGGAACACACTTCTTTAAATACTATTTGTCATGAAGAACACTGCGGCTAGTATAGATTGCAAAAAACTGCAAAAGCAATCTGGCTAAAAATGTGTCATATTTTAGAACCAAAATTGTTAGTATGTGCGTTTACCGGCTATTTCGCATAGCCAACATATGTATACCTACTTCACGTATCCACGGACAGAGAGGTTACCACAGTGCCAAGGACCATGTAGAAACCTGAAACAGGATGCAATGCCTCTAAGAACCAAACGATGATTTTAAACCTCAGAACTGTTGTAACCTTTTTTTGAGCTGTGCTTTTCATTGATTCTGGCACTCATTTCATGCTCCCGAAAAGTGTCCTCCCCACGATTAAGAGACTTTATCCCCACCCCGTGAACTTACTTCGGGGAGGGGGGTTGATGTGCAGTTTGTTTATTTTTGGCCGTAATGAGCCAAGTTACCCAACTGATCTAATTCGGTAAGTATCCCGACACCGTCAGATAAGCTTGTCCACTAGGCTGTATTTAAGAGAGTTGGCTTAATGATCCGTTTGTGATTCAGTAGAAAATTAGGTCCACCATGTGGCGTGAGCTCAACGGTGGTCGGTTTGGTTTTTTGTGGACTCGCAAATAGTGTTACTGTAACCATTTGGTTGGAAGTAGGTTATCTGCCTGGTAATCCCGCTTAACGACCTGGGTAACTAAACAATAATTTTATGAGAAATAGTTGTTGCATCTCTAGAATTTAAAATGGGCCCCGTTTAACTAAGTCGAAATTATACTAGAACAAACTCAGTTCACGAAAACTCGTTCTTTTTCATGGCGTATACAATCAGTTGAATATGGGTCAATTGTAGCGTCGAGTATATCTCCGTTTGTTCATTCTTGAACTGCAGTGAATAAAGATGGGAGGGTATTATACTTTTGCTTGACTCTTTAATCTTCGGATTTTCACACAGGCTCAAATTTTCTCCGAAAGTTCACCACAGGCAAATCCTACCTATCCATGCTCAGGTCCAAAATGTCAACTTTTTTCTAACAGGTCATCAATCAGATTGCGTCTTCGGGATAATGACAGATTAAATCTTCTTTTATTTCAAGCTTGAAAAAAGACCAGTTACATCCAGTTTCGGAAAACAAACGCGCAGTTTTGGTTGTATGCAGCTGAATATAATGCCCGATTATATGGGGCGTGACAATAGCGGTTGTTGGTGACTATGTTTACTGCTTTATCTCACAAAAGTGACGTCCAAAAGAAACGGAAAAGGCTAATAATTAATGACAACAAAAGGAACTTCGGCTCACCGGGAAAGCCATGGTGAACCTGATTCCATTATGAAAGCTGGAAAATTCGTTTCGCAGTGGCCTCTGGTATTCGTCGCCAGTTGTACAATACTACAACTAAGTAAAATATATTAGGCGGAATTCAGAACCTATACCGCTTTACCGTTTGCATTTAGGTGCTGCCGTGTACGAAAAGCCTACCCCTGTGTGACTGGCAGAAAGATCGGGCCGCTTGTCAGTCCAGCAATAAGGCGAGCTCTAATTGATCAAAAGTTTGGACTCAACAGCCAATCATGATCTAGTATCTGTAGAATGCTGATCGCATCCAATAGGCGTCAGAATTTTAAGGATGTCCTCGCCGCATGCACACGCGGTGTACGTGTTTTTTGACCTGATTTAGGACGTTAATACACGTTGTACACCTACGGCGGTTGTTTTGACGGCAGGCTCAGACCAAAAACTAAACTGAGAAAATACCATTATTACAAATCAGATATACGAAAATAAAAATTAACGCTCACCCATTTCAGTGCCATCCAGAGTGAACTTTTCAGCATAAAGCAGCAGTTGGCTGTTTTCACCATCAGCTTTGAGTGTCCATGCACATTGCAAATTATCGAAGTAGGGTTTCGGAAAGTTTGGACTTTCAATCAAACCACCGCGCTCCAACGAGGATAAATTGGCTCCACATGCTGCAGCAAGAGCGGTGAACAAAGCGAGCCATTATTTTAAATAACTTATTTACTAACTTAATTTATTAACTTAACTTATTAACCTATTATGTTAAGTAACTTTAATTTTCGGAGGTCCCCACGGGCAATGGTGAACAGGCAAATGGCAGACGCGCGTGTCAACATGGGCTTGTACTCACGTAACATGTATGGTAGTAATGGCGTGTTTCTCTGTCAAGGTGGCAGTTGGTCTAAAGGAAACACAAAATCTAGAGTGGACATCTGTTCGAAAGGAACTAGAATGTGAACACTCGTGCATTAGTTGTTGCTCGGGTCAAACTGGAACCTTGGACAAGTATTCTATGTTGTCCCAGAGTCAGGTGAAAGGGAAGGATTATCACACTCAGCACCACACACCGCACTCAGCAATCAGGAACGCCAACTAGCTTTGGAGTTTGCTCCGTTCACAAGAACACAGACCAAAGTCTATTTATTGCATGAGATATTTCTGATTTTAGTTTAGTTAGTTTAGTTTATTTCGTTCTAGTCAAATTCCGAGATAGCGCTTAATTGGGTTTTAAAAGTTTTATTGTGATATTCGTGCAAAGGTACCACGCGGTGCAACCAGTTTTCGAATGCAATAATCAATCAAGATAAATGAGCCGTGAGCCGCTGCATTGTCGCGGGGTTTTAAAACCATCGGGCCTCGAATCTAGGTAGATGATGGTCAGGTTTGCAGCATTAAATTCTTTGGGTGGGATTTTTCTTGAGACTGTTGGTTAGTAAACGACAAACGCAGCTCCAAAATTTTTAGCGCTATTTTTGGTGCAGATTGCAAAACTAGCTTAGCTTTGAACTCGGGTGTTGACCATTTCTTATTTTGATCTCCAAATTGTCTGCGCTTGATGAGCAACTGTTCGTTTAAGGTCCACCTTTTGACTACGAGATACAAGGCCATGAAAAACTGAGTGAGTATGAACAAAGCCATGAAACTTTGCACGCCGTTCATTTCGCAAATGAAATGTGTTCCAATTTTTCCTCTCTGACATGAAGAAAATGCCTGAAAGCACAATTATTTGTGTACACGATACAGTATAGCTGTTGACCACGGCGCAACGGAATGAGTACATCATTGACTTAGCGGGTGTAGAAGGTCGTTCAACCGTAACTACCTTTCAGTACCTAGCTGACAAGCAAGAAAGTTGCACAAGTCTAGATAGGAGCAGTCTAGATGCCGAGGTTAGGTGGAAACGTAGATTTTTCAGTCAAAAGTTCGCGCCTTAACCACTGAGCAATACTGAGGTGCCGGGCGGAAAGTTCAATGCATTTTTAAGCTAGGCCTCACTGTGGTATGTTCCGGGTTTCCCACAAAAATGACACCCAGAAGCGACGCAGAAGCCTAACCCAAGGAGACCATCTATTTTATCCGTAGATATTACCTCAGAGAGTAGATTGCACATTAAGTGTATAACTTGGGAGAAGTTCCTTAGGGCTCCTAGTTGATTATTTGATCAGTATGACTGATTACTCAGTAAGCTCGGGTATGTAGGAAATGGAATTCAGGGGGATTCCTTTGGACAAGAATTTTATGTCTAGCCATCATAGGGGATTGCCGGTGGCGTTTGCAATTTGACTGCGACTAGTGCCACACGTTACTGGCATACCCAACCCGTTCCTGAACTCACCAAACGTAGTAATCCAAGAGTCCAGCCAAACCTACTGAGCAACCAGTGCAACAAAACCACAAGTACTCACACTGCTGCTCCAATGTCCAGCTGACCACCCCATATCGCCCGTTACTTTTGAACTTATTTACATCTTGACACTGAAGCACTCCACAAATTTATGACGTCATACTGAGGGGAATCGAAACGATATGATTTGTGACTTATTGGAATTGCTCAGCGAAACACGCTGAAACCTGAATTAAGGAGAAAAATGGGACGAGTAGGTACTAGGGGCTGATAAGTTATCGATCGTTTTTGAAAATGGTATCATCGACACAGTATCGTATGCGCCGGAGGGATTTTTAGAAAACCCAGCCAGAATAGTGAACCCACTGTATTGTACAATAAAATTGAACACTGAGAACTAACTTCCGTCAAACCTTTAAGCAGGCCTACAACTGCCTATCATAGAGAGAAATTTCTATATTTTAAAACTATTTAGTAAGCAGAAAATAGTTACAAGTACGTCTGTTCTATAAATGCATACATACATGCTGTTATACACACTGTTTTGTACATGCAGGTAAGCTGTAAATGTGTTGACCATATAGTCGCACAGGGTTTTAACCCATCTTACGGTGTGCATTCTCGTCAAGATTGTCATCGCCTACTTTATACTCACGATCTGTGAAACGATACTTCACTGTGCTTTGATGAAGACAAAAAATGTATCTGGCGCAAACAAATACTTTCAAAGATTCTTTCTGCAGTTTGATGTTGAATAATTCTGATCCATGCAAATACTGTAATCATTGCACATTTATCCACCGGGTAACCTCGGCGGGATTAATCCGTCCTTCAGGCAGTTGGTAGTAAGCGTGTACTTAACTTTGTACATTTCTGGATATAGTTCTGTGAAGTGGATTCACTTTATTTCACGTTACCGCTTAGGAAAACTGGCTCTTTTTCCTGGGGTTTTACGGTCAAAAATTATGTTTGTACATTTCGAAACAATAAATGACGCTGGGTTTGTCTCTATGTTTATTTCACACGAAGGCACTTTGGTCGTTCCACATTTTGCACAAAACTGTGCTCCATCTGGAATCAACATAAATCCCGGATCTACGACGGTTACTGGGCTAGACTGCTCAAATAAAAACAATTTTCACGTTTCTACGGAACATTTCCGAATAGGCAGGTTCTAATGGATACCCACGAAGCAGTCCAAAGTGGAACCATGCACAGGTGTTGTCAGCTTACGGTCCGCAGCTAGTGCTAAACAGTTTGCGTCATTATATGCGTTCCCTAGTAATCGGACTGTTTTGTCCATGAATGCCAAAGTCAACGACTAAATTTCGAATGAACAGACTCAGTCTACCAACGGAAGTTGTATGTGCCCTGACATGATTTCACGTTCCAATTCAAATTTGGAAGATTGACGGAGCATGGTTGCTCAATCGACATTTTCAGGGTAACAAATGAATGGAGGAAATGCATCAAACCAGATATTCTAAGCTGCTTACACTACTCGCACAGTGCAACAAGATGGAATAGTAGCCAAATATTATTTAAGGCTCAGAATCGTGTGAAAGCTAACAGTACAGCAGTGGCAATAAAAAAATAGGCGCCACATGTATCAGGATAATAGAATTTGATATGTATTTCCAACAAGATTTTTTAACCGTTTTCTTTGACCCGATTGAAAAGTATAACTTGCTTACTGGGACCTGGGTGTACCAATGAAGCATGGTGGTAGTAGGGTCCGCTCAAACTAATGAGTAGGAATGAGAATTATTGGGCACCTGGTTGAATTCGAATAAAAGCCAAAAGCGTAGACCAGTTGTCATGCATGTGTTGAAAGCAACCTTTGATTCATACACTGTTTCCTGTTCCATCACCTTCATTGTATATCTCAATAGCGATACGTTCCAAAATATGGCACCGAACTCCTATTCTCGGTTGACTGGTTGCTTAAGACGGTTTTGCAGAATCGAGGAGACTGGGTACTGGATGAAGTGTCTTCTCTATGATAATGCCCTCTGTTTAACGTGTCTTCATGAGAAGAAGAAGTAATTCACCCTTTCATCAGTATACGGGAATCAGTTGTTTTATCTTTTTGAGTAGCCACAAGCTTGATTTTATCGGTAGTTATACACGAACGTCTAAATGACGAACCATAGAAAGCAGAACTAGAATTACTCTGGAGAAGTAAGGCTGCTCCATGCTGCCACCATGTTTTCCAAACATTTAGCTTTCCAGGCATGTCAGGTAAAGGGGTGACTTTAAAAATACCCAATACCATTTATATTCAGTTTAAATAAAACCTCAAATGAGAGACTCACTGTGGTACGACAAAGTGGAGGACGCTGCAGTCGCTGCATCGCTGATGAACTCATAATGTAGTGTAAATCCCTTGGTTTGAGTGTTCATGCTGGAGCGAAATCTTAGGAGAAAGGCATCCGTGGGTCTTTCGGTTATTACGGGGCCTGGAATTCGTGGACCGCACTCAATAGCTACAGGCTCAAGTTGCAGGTCATGGGTAGTTAGAGTATTCTGCAAGTCATTTTCGATAGCTTCCCATTCATCTAGCCAAGTTTGTTGTCCATTGCCCAATAAGAATGGTCGCGAAGAAATTTCAGCCAATCTTTTCATCAAGGATAATTCAAGTTTTGTTCTAACCGTAACAATTTCTATAGTGTCCTGTTAGGAGAAAAAGCGATCACGTTTGAACAACTTAAAACAAACGGCGGAATTTAACATATGTTTTGCATGCAATCCTTTCATTACTGCACTAATTTTTCGTTTGGGTTAATATTTAATAAGAAAGACGGAAGTTTCAAGTTTGCACAATGTCACACCCCTTTTTGGGGTGTCCGAATTCTCCGATATAATTGGTTTTAGGCGCTTGCGGGCTTTGTAGAACTAACTCACGTCACTCTCGTTTAAACAGTTCTCCTCCGATCCTGGTGCGATCATTCTGATGAGTCTACCCACTCATATTAGGGTTCACCAGTGGTTCACATCCTCGGTCCGACAGGGTTTTGAAGTACTCACATGCGATATGCGAGGTGATTGCATTCAAGTCTTCGTTCGATCGTTGTTCAAGTAGTCGGGCCAGTCGGTCATACCAGTAAAGCGTGTTCAGACTTCAAAATCCAGATGCGTTCGCTATACTCTCGTGAAGTAGTGGTAAACGCTTGCTTCGCATGTCAGGCATCTGGAACTTAAACTTCAGGCACAAACGAGGGTGTTTACAGCTTATAACCTTTAATGCAAGCGAAACCCGAGACCAATGCTTCCACCCTTTTGTGTGGACTCACCAGAATGATTGCGCTAGGATGGCTGTTCAGACGAGAGTGGTTTGAACCTCAATTCGGATACCACTGATGAGTTTCTGTGGCGTATGATCATGTATATTAGCAAAAACGGAACTGTATGGCTTGGACAGGTTATACACACTCAGGAAGCTAACAGCATGAAAAAGTACAACCTAATGTCACGTGACTGACCCTCTCACACACAACAGCTGAGACCCCCATAAAACCAGTCAACTCGAATATAGTGAGTTCTTTGGATCATGCCACAAGTCCACTGAACACAGCCGGTTGGATTTCATACCCCTGGCTCCTGTCCGAGTGTCGGCGTTGACCAAATGCCACTAACTGATCAGGTGTCGGGGGTCATATTATGAGAATTAGCTGACAGTCAGCAGAGCATGAGATCGCGCCTAAAAACCCTGTTGTATACAACGTGCAGACTTCCCAAAGTCACAGTTTTATTGCATGGTCTACACTTCCTATGCCCCGTTGATTTCTAGTTTGCATCGTGTGACTTCAAGCATACAATCTCCATCCCGTCACGGAAATATGGATTAATTTAGTTCCTCTAACTAACGAATATATTGTTTACATAACACGCATCAAATATATATTGTTATGGGGCTAAGATAACTTGAAACTTGAAGCTTTTTCCTAATCATGGAACTTTACAGGTACGTAAGTTATTGTTGGGTGTACAAATTATTTATCCTGGCTGTCCTCAAACCCTATTAGCAGTGGTCTGTTGCAAAAGAAAATTTAATCCCACCTTTCATTTCTGTCAAAACGTCAACCCATTAAAAAGTCCTTCCAGAGCAACCTATTTTGCATCGGGCTTCGTAGGTTTCCACTGATTATTTTTATTTAGCAATGTCAGCTTATTTAGGGGCTTCTTGACGTCAAATTGATTGGTTGGCAGTTATAGAAAAAACAATGCCTGACAACTTCAAATATTCTGTAGCCTGGACGCAACGGAGACATCCGTACATAGAGTCATGGTGTACTGATACCCAACTGATAAGCAAAATGGAAAAATGCACGCGTCTGGTATACAATTAATGCGGAGCAGCGAGGTTTCCTCTAAATAGTGGCCTTTCCCTGCTTCTGTAATGATGTAACTGTGAAACGCTGCTGTTTTAAATTCGCCAATAATATTTCGTTTTCTGAGAGTCAGTTGAGTATTTTCGCCGAATTTCCAATCTCCACACCCCTGCATTCTTTCTCCTTTCTCAGCGGTCAGTGACCAAATATTTTTCAACACTCCCTGCGGTTTGATTTGAATACTTCGTCTGGTAAACTGAGTTAATCTGGCACCATTTGTGACCCTTTGTATAACGCTTCTTCGTATCTTCCTAGTGGTCGTATATTCGCCTGGTTGAGTCACAGTTAGGTTGTTTTCCCCCGGTAATTTTTCTACGCTTTGAAATTGAGCGAAATTCCTATTGTACAGTTTTGCGATGTACTTGTAAACTTATTTTGTCTGCTTTCGGTACCAAAGGTAACAGCAACCTATAACTTCTGGATATTTTCTCAGGTATTTCACTGGACTCCTTGTGAGCATCTGGAGCCTTTCGTAGTGTGCACAGAAACTGGTTAAAATGGGGAGATACAACGAATCTATTGTTTTAAGCGTCTCTCCCGAAAACATAACGGATGTTCTTCTCAAGCAGTGGCAACATATTTATCAAATATTTGTTGAACAGAACCAGCCGATTTGAGTAACTGGTGAATTGAATAACTGAGTAACTGTTCATTAAATAGAATAAGACGATGTCGAACTCACTCTCCTAGCGTGGTCTAGCATTTTCTTCGGTGAATAAAATGTACAGTTATCAAATTTCTCATCTGCCAGAAGTTGCCTTCCTAAAATACATACTACACTGGGTCATAACATATAGGAAGTTGCAAATGCTACATTATTGAGAATCTATATTGTTGGAACTGCCTCCACCCATAAGCCGTCTGTCGCAAGTTGTAAGTCTTAATGAAATTAGTGTAGAAGAGACACAAATTTTGGGAACAGTGGCTAATCCTGTAACATTTTGAGATGCTGCACCGATCATCCTCCTCTAAACTCGCGCGTGTAAACTGGTTACGTAGTACGCGCTGATTTTGCCCGACGGAAGCGCACACTTTCAAACATGTACACAACATAATTCAGAACCTGCAGCTGAAGAGAAAGTGACTGAAGGCTAGACTGGAACATGATAAAAGCAGGCTTAGGAATATGCTAATCAGAAACGAATGTAAAGAAACCCTCATCAATATGGGGCTAACAATAATGGGATGATTATGGTTGTTTGAGTGAGGATGATAAGCCCGGAAACATGCATCTTGGGAGCAAAAACTGACCAGATACAACACACTGATTAGCAGAAATAATTTATATCTGTTGCATCGGACAAGCACACAGGCGATAAATGACTGAAGGAGATTTTCTCGCTTGCTCGCTTGTCATGAACAAGAATGCTGCCATTTTCCTAGCAATTTCTCCTGTGCTAATTCGTTTACTTATACGTCTGTGGACAAAATGCACGAAACTTTTGAGTAGCTAGCATCCTTCCTGGCGAAAGCTTGGGCTTAGTGGTACACTACTGTACTCTTTTGGTGTCCCGGAGTAGTTCATGCTGGTACCGGAAACCTATAGTATAAAGTCTAGGATACTACCCGTCGCTAATTAGGATATACCATAAGCAAGCTCACCTACCTGGGAACAAACTTGTGCTTTTTGGACTGTTGACGTAGGTTGAACGGTTGGCTCTATGGAATGTTGCATGTCGAATTTTCCAAAGGATAGTCGAATCATACTTGTCATGGGCTGCTGAGTTGTGTCCGGGACGAAAAAGTAAATACAGGTGGTGTTGGATGGATAGGAATTACGATAGAATGGGGAATTCGTCCATCCCTGATGATGAGTTAGATTAGATGAATGTTGAGCAATGTTCAGGTCACGTAGGAATGGTGAAAAGGAAGGGCTATACAAAAACTGGCATGTTCCGGTGTTGAGATCCATTCCGGGAATGCCAAAATCTGGAAATAAAACAGTGAGAGTATTTTTACAATCGAGCTGGCTTATTTTCGAATGATTGTCTCATCTGTGGTTAGTCAGCATTCGAGTGTTTGAAGCCACTTACTTTTCGATCAAAACCATTAATCAGCGAAAATTGGACCCCGGGAAATAAATACATTCAAATTAAGATTTAGGTGTTTAAAATGCACTTTGCCTAAATACCAGATTATTCAGGGACGAATAAGCGCAGTTTAAGGAACTGATTGCCTCTCTTCAAGGAAATGCGAGGTGTGAAAAATAGAAGACAATGGTTACTACAGTGTAAACACAACACTTTGATAGAAGAAATCAAGCGCTTTCGACTTGAAACGTCATAATAAACGATATAAATTACGCTTTCAAAAGGGTGCGAATAATTTCTGGCAAAATAATTAAACGGTCCGTTACTGACACCTCGTCGGTGATAAATTACAACAGGGTCGTTTAAATGTAGGTCACTTTCTGTGTATGGAGTATCCGAATCAACTAATAAATCTTAGATAATTTTGTGCCACTCTAACTTAAACAAAAAAAATTGGCGAACGAATCTAAGACAGGCCAAAATTGATGTGTTTGTTGGACTATTCTCTAAAGTACGCGACATTGTATTTGAACGGAGATGCGCTTGAATTGAAAGTTGTTTAGTGTAAGCACTGAATAATAGGAAATCATGTAGCTTTGATTATCGACCGATGAGAGGATAGCTTTCATAGACCCGGTTTATGATCAACCCGTAAAACTCATGGAGATTGGTGACGGAATAAAATCGCACGTCTGTGTTACTTATTGTGATGTCGAACATGCTTCACTTTGGCCAAATGCTTGTAAATTTTCGGGGTTCATTTGCCCAGAAACTTTGACAAACGACAAAATTTGAAGGAGTCGTCAACCTCAAACACAGTTGTATCTACTTGTTGGACGACACTGTTCACGTGAGTTTTGGTATATAGAATGTGAAAACGATGATAGTGGTGTCCGGCATAAACAGTGCTGCGAGTGGGACTGTAGTCTTGGAAATCAAATTGTTTCTCATTTTATTAATATTAGGCTCATAAAAAAATAAATTGCGCGATCTGATTATCTAATCAAGGGACGAAATAGCCTGTTGCGAGTCAAGGTGGTGTGGCCACTGAATACAACTCTCAACGGCCATGAAACTTAATGGCCTGGTTATGGCAATTAGTAGGTTGCACTGCACTGTCTGTTGGCAGGAAGAAAGATGAATTCTTCCTCAGACATGCGGTTCATGTCACGCTAATCGATTCACTTATTAATGAAATTGCATACAAAAATTTGTCCGATTTTCGGGGTCTTTTACTTTTTGTGTAGGCTCGCTTTTGGAGGGTTGACATTCATTAGACATCGTGCTATCCGACTGGCTCAGCTAGAATTACCGGGTGCATGTGAAGGACATTTTGGTGAATATGGAAAACTGTAATTCACACCATTCAGACAATAGTTGCACCGCATTCTGCCTAGCGGTACTAAATGAACGACTTCGCAGACTTTTGCCTCCATTTATGATTTTGTCCCGTGAAGCACATATAGCTTCCTCGTTTGATAGCAAATTTCTTGACGCTGAGTGATTGGCAGAACACACGCGAGTATGAAACCCACATCTGATTCCGTACGTTAGTTACCATATTTAGCTTTCCACAGTTATGACCTCTAGAAGCAGACAGTAGGAATAAGATTCATCAGACTGTCAAGAAGTGGAGTATGATTAATAATATATATCAGCTAGCGGGAAATAAAGTGGAGAAATAGTGGGTAAATAATTTACTCCTGTGGCACAAATAAAAGCAGGAGGTCAAAAACTTAATCTTAGTGAGAGGAAATATGCGGTTGTATTTTTCGTGACTCCGTCATAAATTATGAAACAGCATCAAATTTTCCCTCCCAATGGCGGAAGAAGCGTAGAAATGCCACAATATTTTTAGGAGTTCCGGGACAAAATCAGCTCAAAGGGTGTTAAAAATATTCAGCGCCATGTGGTGTATACTAAGGGTTTTTTTATAATTATGAAGTTGTTGTAATCCAACGTTTCGGTTGCCGTTGGCGACCTGTCTAAAGAATTCCCAAACCCTAATATAATACGCTGTGTTTTGACATTGTAATTATAAAAAAACTCCTCACCATAAGCTCTTGTTTACTAGTAGTGGGCTACAAATTATAACAAAGACACGCAATGGTAACATTGGTGCCCCGAGTTTCCATCTGGAACCCGCATAGCCCTCCTAGTCAGGTCGCGGTTTTCACAAAAACTACTGACCCTAAGTGACATGCTTTGACTCGAAATGAAGTTTGTGCACCGTATACTAAGGTTTATAATTATGAAGTTGTTGTAATCCAACGTTTCGGTTGCCGTTGGCGACCTGTCTAAAGAATTCCCAAACCCTAATATAATACGCTGTGTTTTGACATTGTAATCATAAAAAACTCCTCACCATAAGCTCTTGTTTACTAGTAGTGGTCTACAAATTATAACAAAGACACGCAATGGTAACATTGGCGCCCCGAGTGTCCATCTGGAACCCGCATAGCCCTCCCAGTCAGGTCGCGGTTTTCACAAAAACTACTGACCCTAATTGACATGCTTTGACTCGAAATGAAGTTTGTGCACCGGAAAAACATTCAGTGGAAATAAATCACAAATCACAAGAGTATTGAGGATTTTTCGGGATTCTGGGAATTTTCAAGAGGTTTTGTTGTTCGTCACCAAAGTAATTCAAATATTCGAAATCAAGTGTTCCAAAAATCCAATACTCAGTCAAATTTAGGCAATTATCCTGCTGCAACACTGAAAACACTTTAGTAATCTGTAGTTAACTTTTGAATTGCATTAAGAGTAATCGGGTATTCATACAAAATTTGAAAATATCGAGTCGTAACTTACCACGCTCAAAGCGGTAACGCAGACGGAAGCTGGCATACATTCCCGGCAATGTTGATCCTGTCGAGTTTAGTTTTAATACAAGTACCGAGTAACGACCGACAATCGGAAAATGCTTTGAATCTGCTGATAGCATTAGGCGTTGCATTTGATCTTCCCGGTCACACCATACATGGTCGGCCGCAACGGTCCCTTCGGAAAATGCATAAGTCGGTCCCGCACCTGGTTCGGATAACTGGTACACACTGTTGAACGAACGGCTTCCGTACACGGCAAGAAATCCATGATTACAGCTACAAAAGGCAGTACCGAGTCACTACTCGTGTATAATTGAAAAAAACGAACACAAATGTGAATTTTTCCATTAATAAAATGGTTTTCCCTCCAATTTCATCTGTTTTTTTGTTCACCAGCAGAAAGCAAACAGAGTCTATGATGTGGTGGAGTGACCTCGTACGATATTTCCAGACGTTAGTGAACAACGATTGTCAGGATTTGCACAAAATGGATTCAATGTAGCAGCGGCACTGGTGGCGAAAAAATAACACTGCCGTTCAGAGGAAAGTCATCCACAAACCACTTCATGGAACGAGAAGCCGCTTACTATATTTACTAATCGGAAATATCGAACGTTTTGAGATTTCTCGTGGTTAGTGGGAACAGTAGAACACACTACTATCGTGCTTAATATCTGAGTCCGCCTTCCGCATGTCCTTTGGCTCTAGACAAAGTCTTGGGATGGCGAAAACTTATTGCGGGTTCAGAATTTTTCGATTAATCGGCCAATCATGGAGCTATCTTGAGATGGTCTAGACTTTGAGGTTGGGAATGTTTCAAATGTACATGTATTCATGTAAACCCAATTCAACCACGGTCAAGAAATTGTGACAGATGGTGTACTAAGTGTCCTCTAAATTTTCATTACGAAAATCATAAACTTCGAAAAAATTGTTCTAAAAGTTGACCATTGAATTTGCTAAATCCAAAGTTTTAGAGTGCTAAGCAAATCAGTGTGCTCCTGAAACTCAATGCACCTTCAAGTACATTTTGCTGGCAACCGTTTTAGCAGTATACTCAAACTCAAAACTTATTTCCTGCTCAAAAAATAGTTTTAGAGAACTTAAGATGACCAACAGTTCTATAGGTACGTTTCGCATACCACCAGGGCATCGTGCCTGAACTGCAATAGCCAAAGATTAATCCTAGCTATGAGACCAATGTCGTTCCTCCACAATTTGATTTGCTGAGCAATTGCGTGAAAGGGGGAGTAACGACCTAATCGTTCCATACCGCGCAATAACTACGGTACCATAATCAGCCATTTTCCAAATAATCAAAATATCTTCCACAAGTGACGCGTAACTGGGCAAAATGTAACTGAAAATGCATCATATGAAGGGCCCTGAAACGTTAAGTACGCGAAAGATCGCGTCTCAAGTGTTAAAGACTATGCATTTAGAACTGGCATTTTTTCGTTGAGTCGGTGAAATGCCTGTACTAGAAGGGCACAATATTCTACACACGGAACTCACACACATACAGAACGCACATCGTTTTAAAACAGCCTCGAAAACAAGCACCAAAAGCTGGTTTGGTCAAACGTCGCCATAAAGTGCCACCGAATATAACTTCGGTATTTTCTCTGTTGACATACTGCTTTAACGGATCAAAGTCATTCAAGATAAATGTAACAAGCAACCTTATTCATGACTTGCCGACCAGAAATCGTTTTACGCCTGCATGGTTCCACGAGGTACGAAAGATGCAAGAGGAAGATCCAGACATATTCATTCCGAAGATGCACATGCTTGTAAATAATGTGCCAAAAGACATTTTCACTAGTTTATCCTTCACGTTTACCAGAACGTTCATATCGTATTTTAGTTTGTTCTGAAATTTGTCGCGTAAAAGCGAACTCACTTTTGTTTTGATATACTCGGCTTCGGTAGCTGCAACTCCTCGAACCCAATTCGAACAGCTTCAATGTATTGTGCGTGAACTGATCCGAGAAAATAGAACGAACACACACGATTTGGATAGAGCGGCTTTTCTTTCTTGTGTGTAGGAAATTCAAATGTGGCCTCGGTCAATCCGTGACTTCGGATCATGTAATCACACTCTGTCATGTGAAAATGTGTTAAAGTAGGAACGGTGCAATTAAAAAAATTGAAATAACCCATGAAATGAATAATAATCCACCCTGAAGGGGGGAGCTACGACATGCATTAATCGCTCAGTATAATTAATCGCCCTATCAGTTTTTCCGCAAATGGAGAGAGATGACATTGAGTGACAAGTTAATTATCCCTTTGAAGGGGGTTCTTCACAAAGACTGACAGTTAGTTGCTTTTATAGAAGGTAAAACTGTGGGCGTACTGGACCCGTGGGAATGTTGTTAACTGACGGTATTTTGAGATTTAGCCTGCTGATGAGAACCTAAAGCTCACAGTTTTCCCATTTTATCCGACCAGAATAGCAGCCTTCATGAAAGTTTGGCGCAAGCTACCGGCTGAATTCTCCTTGACAACAGTGTGGACCGCCTTTTGTCTAGATTTATCAGAACTGCCTCATGTGACCAGTCCCCCGTGATGCGTTTTGAATGGGTTGAATTTGAATAGATAATTTCTCATACACGATTAACTTGAGAACTAAGCCGGTTGAGTTGTGCTGACGGTCACCCGAGTGAGCTGTCACCAGACCGCTGGTAGATTTGCATGTTCCCTCTACTAATAAAAATTCAGCAAACAAAATATGTGTAGGTCAATACATCGACGTTACGCTGAACACTGAAAATATCATACATAAACCGCTTGTGCTTGGCTGAATTCACTGCATTTCTCAAAGCATTTCGTAATGCATTCGGGCTGCCACTAGTTTAAGTAATCTCAAATTATATGCCCTTGGAATAAACCTTAAGAACATATAAAGGATATTAATGAATGAATTGGCTACTCTGTATGTCATTACAGGGAAGACCCAAATATATTTTTCCCCTACCTCATCCGGACATGATTAATTTTCGTTAGATTTTTTGCCTGTCTCCAATAACGATAGGTTCTGTTGTTTGAGTTTAAAAAATGCTTGCGAAATCAAATTACTTTCTGAACACCATTCTCCTTCAAACCCAAGATTTGTGCGCAGTACACTCAGTTAAATATTGTCAAGATAGCGAGATCACTTTGTACCACCTTCTATGACGTCCCGATTCGGAAATCACTGGTTATCTATATATACACCAGTTTCTCTCTTAAACTACTTGACAAGTTTACGAAATCCGCACACAATCCTGTGTGGAAAAAATCGCGGCTGAACTGCAGGGGAGTTTCGCAATCCATACAATTAGTGTGTACTGCAACATCTTGGATATCGTTCAAGCTCATTCATGGGAGGATCATTTTTATACATATTTACTTGGAAAAATAGTAGGAACGAAAGTTTGATATAAGATGCCAGCTCCGAGCGTCCAAAGTTGTCAATAGATGTTTGTTCAATTCACTAAAGGATAGGACTGAGAGAAATTGAGGGACTGGGCTCGGATGCTAAGTCGCACGAAGTGCTGAACCAATGGTAGACCACCCAATAGCTTTCATGCTCGAGAATGTGACTTGGACTCCGTGGAAATACTATTGCACGCACGTGACTAAGGTCAACAAGGTGACATCCCATCTGGGATGGCTGTTATCTTTAGAGAAAAAGTCACTGCATACTTCCAAGACAATCAGAGTAAGTAGTGATTTTAACACCCCGAACTATTGAAACATGGAGAAACTCAAATCACTACTTGTTTTCCATAGACATCAGTCACCCAGGCGTTAACCGCACAAAGAGGTCCAGGGCAACGAGCTACCCATCACCTTGTAAATAAAACCACAAATGCGTTTAAGCCGGTCATGCCTCCTGATATAAACATTTAGTGAATATCCGTAATGTTGTACAGGCAAGCGAAACAGACATTGGTACAACCACCAACCCACCGCTACTACGCTCCACAATAACGCACTGATGATGTCACCTCGATTGGTGATGAAACGTTTGCAATCAAATTGCCCAGCTCAGCGAACAAGCCAACGACCACATTTATTACTGCTTTGGTACGGTGTTTGGTATCAGCATAGCAGGACCTCATCTAACTGTGGCGTTTGCAATCAATTGCCCAGCTCAGCGAACAAGCCAACGACCACATCTATTACTGCTTTGGTACGGTGTTTGGTATCAGCATAGCAGGACCTCATCTAACTGTGGCCTAACACTGTGGTCATGACTGCTAGACTGAAAGATTCCGTGAAGCAAAAGCCATGTTTTTGTGAAGCTCGAAGCTTTGTAAAAGCCTAATTGAGTGTTCTTGTGGCAGGGTACGCTCGTCTCGTTTTACACTCATTCGAGCAACCTTATGACGGGAAATGGTTCGATACAAAGCTGATTTTGCCTTGGATTTTCCTCCACATATAGTTTCGTCCGTTTACCTTTTGTTTCAAAATAGTCCGGAAGCAATAAATCAAGCCTGACATTCTGCAGAAGTCAACTTCCTTCTGAATGAACATAAATCAAGAAATTGTGAAATACCCAAGGTACTTCATTTGCCCGGTTTCCTCACTTTTCTCCCAGCGGTCCGGTTTTGAGTTCTTTAGGCTACATTTTGCAAAACATCAAAGTGCTGGAAACATCCCCAAACGTTTGAAGTTTCTGTCAAAGCAGTTTCGAAAATTGAGTTCCAGCAATAAGCTGTGAACACTTTTCCTGAAAATCTTTTACAGGCACAACCAGTAGTGTAAACAATAATGTGGAAATGGGGTTTAAAAAGGGATAATTGCTTTCTTGATGTCTGGATATTTGATCAATCTTATGGCTCCAGTCGTGGATGCCCAAACAGTATGTGAGGGATTAACGTTCATTGAGCAGACTGGGGGAAATGGAATGGGTGGTCTAAATTTTTGCCCGTAATTTCTCAGTCTCCCTCTTCTGTATATGTATGAGGCTGTCTCGTTTACGAAGTTATCACTAATAGAAGTAACCTACTAATTAAAGAACACCTAAGGTACAGTTCTGGCGGCAACATGGATGTAAAGTTTAGTGGTTCTTGCAGTAGGGTAACTAAACTGAGTGGTATAGACGGCAAGCTTACAACTTCCTACTGGCTGACTCAAAACACAGAAACCCCATATAGTGAAGAAAGTTGAAGCTTTCAACTACACACTATACTATATTCATATAATATATATTCTATATCCTGTATATTACTGAGAATAACTCGCTTGATATCTTATGGATGTTGAAAAACAATATCAACTCCCGTGAATTTAGTGGATATTAGCTGATCATGGATGAAAACTGGAGCTACTCAGTTGGTTTATCGAGATGTAGTGGCTAGTGCTTGTTCAGCTTAGTCCATCAGAATATTTAAAACAATACACAGAAAGTAAAAGCATTCTGAAAAAACTACGATAACATTGAAAGTTTCTAGAGGTTTGCTAAAAACTGGGATAGCCTAGTCAGTCTGAATGTCCTCTAAGAAAATTAAGTTCTCCTAGACTCATCCGTATTCATGAAATAGACAGGGCATTTTCTTCCGAAATATAGACGGACATTGAGCTTTCTTCTAACCAAGTTCGAGAGAATAAACTCGATTACGAAAGGGAAAATGGACTTAGTTGGTACAATAAAATTAGTGACCGAATTTCAGTCATACGATTTCTGTCCAAGCCTAACAAAAACAGTGGCATGAGCATAAGTTTCATCTGTGCTAGCGGATTTCCAAGCATCCGGCTTGTAGCGCAAACGGGAAATAAATCAAAAATTGGCCTAGCTTTTCTAAGTACACTTCGCTGACTTTTGTTCTGTATTGATCTACGCAGCACTTTGTCTGTTGATCAAATGCTTTCGAAAATTAATCATGCTCAAGGCTCTTTCACTCGTTTTAACAAAGTGCAAAAAATATACCCGTGTGCGTATGTAAGGAGCTCCATTTGATTAACAACCCAGGTGCTGGTAGCCAAAAACCTCTCTAAAGAAAGAAGGCACGAGTAAAGCTTAAGTACACCAAAATGGGACAGAAAGTTTAAAAGTATGTGGGATTGACGCAAACTCTAAGAATTCGCCTATCTGGTGAGCCCCAAGGAGAACAAAACTGGTTGTGAACTGTCAGAGATTGTGTAGTGTGAGCAGTGTTCTTTCTACTCTGCTGTGAAAAACTGTCTTAGCGGCAGAAGTGATACCCTGTTATACGACTGAAGGAAACGTTTAAAAAATCGGAACCTTGAGGACCGTTGCACGGTCAGTCGCAGGTGGCCGTCCATTCTACGCGGTATTGTTTACTCAGGGTCATTCTGTTTGCGTTATGCGGCATTCTGACGCCTTAGACTGTATTAGTGAATGTCATTGTGTGCGCTCTTCGGAGGATACAGGTCATAGGGTGCAGTAGCACGTAATCGTTTCGTTTAAAATTATGGAAGGATGGGGCGATCAAAGATTTTTTATTTCTCATTTAAGTCCGTTGTAAAAAACCTTCGTTACAGTTGCCCTGAATTTGATCATCATGTCGTTTTCGCCCTACTCTCATTCTGAACATTTCAGTGAAGGAGTGCAAGCTAAAAAGGCTTGCCAGTATGCACTATTGAATTGTTTCATTGAGCCCGGCTGGGAACAGATTGCAGTTAGTTTTATTCATACTGTTAACAAAAGTTAAAAAAAATTGAGGGCTAATAATTGTCCGGTTACTTTCACTACAGTTATCCGTTTCATCAACGTGGCACAGATGTGTAAATTTACAAGATCCTGACAGGCAAAACTAAAATTCCGGTTTGTTTTAACTTCAATCCCACTGAGCTGGGTCAAAATATTTGCTAGAATATGATGAAGGAAATTGAAGCTGTCAAAAGAAGGGAAACAAGAAATCATTCAGGCGTAACAACGTCTGTCTAACGAGGGTAGATAGGAGTATTATGTTCCTTGGACTGGAAATAAATATATTCTGAAGGATGTTTAAAATCGGAATGAAGTTGAAAAATAGCTGGAAGCAGTAAGACGACATGAACTATCAAAGAAATTAGTGGCCATCGGTTGCATGAAATGCGTATTGGCTCACTGGGTAATACAAAAAGATGTAGACCGTAATGCAGAGCGCCATGGC